CAAGGCTGATAGCGACGGCTAGGTCAGTGCCCCGGACGCAAGTCCGGCTGCCCGAGGCCTAACAAACTTGTAGTTTTGTAGACCGTTGTATCTTAAGCACGCGTTGCTGCTTAAGGGGGGGGAGGGGCTCAGTCAGTCAAGTCCCAAGACCCGGGTAGGATAGTCAGACATCTTAAGCTGGTCGGATAGTAGAAATGGAAAATATTCCGTTATCCTTTAAAGTCTTTCAGATTTTGAAAGGATCGGAAACTTCCTCCAAGTCAAAGATTATCGAAGACTTATCTCGGCAGGGATATTCCCGATTAGAGGTTGATGCCATTCTAGTGCAAATGAAACAAGGTGGTTTTCTTTCAAGCTTTAGAGTTGGTTTCGGAACTTCAGTTACGGAAATTCTATCACTCCGCCCTGAAAGACGCGATGGGTTAATGGCTTGTATTATTTGTGGCGACTTTTAGTCGTAGAAACTCATTAAATTTTTTCTTCTGTTAAGTTGTCGCAGACGGTTAGGAGACCTGCGGCAGAGTATCTACTGGTTTTTGCAGAAAGAATTAAAAGATGGGGCATATGATGCCTCGGTCCGAAGCATCACACATTCTTGGCCTCCTAAGAAATGGAGGTGATACTGGTGTTTCCCTTAGTAGAATTTACGAACAACTTATTGAAACTACAGGATTAGAGTGGCGGTTTGTCAGAGGACTTATAAGTCAGATGATAGATTATGGTCACGTCGAGGAGATAGAGGTATCTGTAGACAGTGTAATATATCTTCACTATCGCATTATTGCTGGCATGCTGGAAGAATTAACAGCATCTGTACTTGCTAATGAATACGACTGATTGAATCTTATACAATCTTTTTGTAAAATAGCCAAAAAAACAAAGGAGGAAGGGAAAATTGCAGCAAATTAAATTGTAAGGAGGAAGCAAATGATTTGGTTGGCTTTCACAGGCGGGTGCGAGGCTGGGGCACACGTCACTTTGCATGCAAAGCCAGTCTTATTTCTCTTTTTAATTGTCAGGTATTTTATTGAAACACAAAAAACTTTTACACAGCTTCTTTCAAATATGCAGATTGTATCGATAGGTTAAGATGAAAAGTCATTATTTAAGTCCAAACTACAACCGAGACCTCATGGGCTGGTGCCCGGTATGCCCAGCCATTCATCAACAGGTGCCACGTCACGTTAGAAAAACGCATCACGAAGTTGACTGCGAGAAGCTTTCCACTTATCAGAGCGCAATTTTCACCCGTCAAATGAGGGGACCCTTGCACCTCCCTGGTATAACAGCGGACATTGTAGCTCTAAATGGTGATTCGGAGAAAATCACCAAATACCTGCAGAACGTGTTTAGTGCGGTGGGCGTCGGCACCGTAGACCAAGAGGATAAGGCAATCCG